AAATATTTCCAAGTGATTAAAGTAGTTGAATAAAAAAAAAAAATGTAAAGTGTCTGTTCTGTTTTTAGGATAACACGTGGACTTAAGAACATAAGAACATTATGCCACCTCCACACCTTGCTGGATAGAGATAGCTAGCTGGGAATACAACTGCTGAAATACTAATGGGAGTTGCTCCAGTTTTCTGTTCTTCGTTTAGACACAGTGGAGTTGATTAATTAGCTAGTTTATGCCATCTGGACTAACCAAAAGAAACATTTCAAATATGTGATCATAAATGAGTATAAAAAAAAAAAAAGCATTATTACAATGGAATGGAATGATTCTAGAATATTTAACTTATTTTCCTGTTTCTACTAATTTAGTTTTTCTGTTTACACCAATGAAATTAAAGAAACTGGAAACTGAATGTAAGGTCTGTTAAATAACTATTTTCTTTTAGGGACAGTGTGCATGTAAAAGATTGCTGCAGGGGGGCGGAGCCAGCGCCTAAACGAGCAAGTCGCAACTCACCACAGCTCCGAGCGTGAGACCCAGGAAAAGGGATATCCAAGCGACAAAAACCGCCTCGGGGACCCGACAAACAGATCCCCAAGACACTCCACACTATGGGGAAGAAAACGAAGAAGTGCAGAGCAGATCCTGGCTCGGGATCCAAAGATATAGGCACTTTTATGCGCCATACGCAGCTGCACGTACCTGGCAAGATTGCGCCGATAGAGGCCTTCGACACACAGTCATCCGACGATGACAGCGCACTCGATTCCTTCCACGTTTCCAGCAAGGTGCATATTACACCCCAGCAGCCTAAAGAATTGGGGGACGCAGCACCCGCCACGAAAGCCGACATCAAGGCACTGATGGTAAACATCAAAGCGATGTTTGATGCCGACATGGCACTTGTCCGAGGGGAGGTCTCCACACTTGCAGGCCGGGTGGTTTCCGTTGAGGAGTCCCTCGGGGGCGCGAGAGTAGCACAAGCGGCGACAGACGCTGCCCTGGGACAGTTGCAAAAACAATGTGCGGCGCTGACCGCTCAATTAGCGGGCATGGAAGACAAAACTAGAGCCCGAAACCTGCGAATCCGGGGAGTGCCGGAATCAGCGGGAAACCTGGAATTACCACACTATTGTAGGAGGCTGGTGGCAACCTTACTGACTCCCAAACAAGCGAAGCAGGTAGGGATCGACACCTGCTTTCGCCTCCCCAAGGCACCCAAAGCGCCCCAAGAAGCACAGAGGGATGTGTTAATTAAATTTGTCCGGGACTCGGACCGGGGGGCTCTCATGGGAGCCGCGAGAGGCTCTCCCACCATGTTTGAGGGAGCAAGTTTGACCCTATACAGAGACTTCTCAAAGCACACTCTCACCTGGCGCAGGTCTCTCCGCCACATCACCTTGCTACTGGGCGAGAACTCTATCCCCTATAAATGGGGCCCTCATCGTTTAACCGTAGAGCACGCCGGTAACATGAGAAATGTGACCGCACATGCAAGTGCACCTGTGAAATGTCTGATAGGTCCCTTACTGCAGGACTATAAATTGGACACCTTTCATATGCTGAACTTACCTAGTCTTTTCGCTCACCTTAGAAGCAGTGACTTTTTTGGTTTTTGGTTTCTTTTCTCAAAGTTTCTTAAGTTTTCTAAGGTCTTAAAAGTTTATTTTTTGTTTGTTTTTAAGTTTATGAAGATTACAGGGCAACAGATATATTTAAATCTCTGGCTCCGTAAGCAGACTCCCACCGATCCTGGTTAAGCAGACTTGCCCCTCCCCTAACACGAAGCAAATGCAGAGGCCCGACACTCTGGGTACAAGCGCCCTACTGGGAGACTTGCGAGGTCCTGCACCATTCCTATCAACGGCCAACGGCCATAATAACCACACTCCCTCACCTAATAATACAAGTGCCCAGGCTGCGCCTACAGCCCCAACATTCCTAAGCAGAGCACATAAAGCTGTACACTAGCCCCTCAGGGTAGCCATACGCCTTAGTAGCCACTAACACGAGGGAGAAACGCAGGGCTTTACCTATTAAAAATCGGGTTGCAAAGTTTCTATGCAAATACGAATGTTATATGAAGACTATCTTAAATGTATTTTTGTACATGTTATTTCACTTTCGTTTTGCATATAATGTACTACGTGTTTAACTCTCGTATACCCACAAAAATAAAGAATTTAAAAAAAAAAAATGATTGCTGCAAACTGTGGACTATTATTCAATTTAATTTTTTCTGAAGCTCTGCCATAGAATACGGACTGTAGATAACTTCCTGCTTATTCCATGCCTAAGGGACCCAGATCCATCCAAGTGTTACTCCAAGCACCATAACAACATTTGTGATTTCAATTAGTCCTGGTGTGTACAGTCTGTATGTGCAGTGTTTTAATTTATACTTACAGAGTTCGAGCACTTTGCTGCTGGAGGTGGAACTCTACCTTCAACAACATCATTAGCCTACAGAGACCAGAGGTCCACACTGCCTAATATTAAATCTGTGCATGAAAGGCATCTGTCATCAGCAAGTGTAGCATGCTGGTGACAGATGACCAATGGTGGCATGACTACCCATCCATGCCACCAAAGCCCCTGTCTCAGCCAGTCCTCTGGGACATCCCTCCCCAGCGGTGAGAAGGAGTGATGTTATTGTAAGAGTATCAGGGAGAACTTGGCTTCAGAGTGTAATAGCGGGTAAGTTTATGCTTTATTTTTTTCTTTTATGGGGAGGTTCATGGCAGCAAGGCTTTCTTCATCCAAAAACAATATTTTATTAAAATGCTGTTTTTGGTTGGAGTAACCCTTTAAAGCAGCCCTGTTTTGTTTAAGATTATTGAACACTGTCAGTTGACTGAATACTTTGTTTAATCAATGTTTTCTTAAGGGGGCTTTTTGTAATTCTAAAGCATTTTTATCACTGTTGGATACACAATGCAGTCCTAAATATAGGAGTTACAATAGGATAGAAAATATATATAATTAACAGAAATAAAGCACAAACATCCCTGACATTATACACATAGAAACAAGCTCTAACATGCACAAACACTGACATTGCACACACAGAAACATTCACACATAACGCATGGTAGAATAGAAATCTGATAGCTACATGTAGTATATACAGTAGTAAGAGGGAGTAAGACCATGTATAGAAAGCTCTGAAAACTGGAAACATATAGGGATTCACCAGAAACCTTAAAAAAACATCAAATCCTTTCAATAAGCTCCTGGATACCTGCTACTATCTTATAGTACTAAGCATTCTATTTACACATAACTCATGACCTATGTATAGGATTCAAGGAAATCCTGAAAGGAAGCACTGAAAAAAATCTAACATTGTAAGAGAAGATTAATTATTTACAGTTGCAGTAGAATAAAGGTAAGCGAAAATAATGACTATCAATATGATGTCATGTACTGGTTCAGATAGTATAAGTGGATAAACTTTATGTTGCTGTTAAAGGAGAACTGCAACGTATCTGAAATTTACACCATTGAACAGAACATTGAAAATTACCCATAACTTGTGTTAACATTTGTTTCATGAAAGGTACAGTTTTATCTATTAATTTATAATGAATGTATATATTAACGATTTATCAAATTACATCATAATCCATTTCAGACAGGGCAATGCATGGGCAAAGGTTACAATTGACGAGGAGGAATCAAAACATTGTTTCGTTTCTCCTCTTCCCTGTAAGCGTTCTTAAACATTACTGCCAGGCGCAAAGGACAGACACCTCGATTCAATATTATTGGCAAAGTCCAGTCTAAAATTATCAACGGAATTCAGCTGATATAATTATTACATTTTAACTGAATTTAATGCGAGCAGAAATTCTAGCAGCCGAACCTTACAAATGGGTCAGCTGCTTGATGAAAATCCTTCAATACATGTACTTCAGAAGCACATTTATCAACATTTTATAATGACCTACCCTGTTAGTCATTCAAAATAAAATAGATAAAAGCCTACGGGTGTCATCACATTTGTACAAGGGAGGTTATACACTTCTGCCATTTCTCCACTTATCATGCCATGTATGCGCCGGTACATTCATGTTAGCATGTTTGCTAAACACTGGCTGCTCACTTTATTTTTTTTTATTTTTTTTAAATTCTGTATTTTATTGTGCAAATAATGAACATAACAGGTTTGTCACGCCACAACAGCGGACCAAACACATGCAGTATACATATATTGACATCGTCATGGCATTTAGATTTCTTGCACATTTTTTAATATTAAATGCAGTTTCTAACATATTAGTCAGGGATGTCTAGGTTGAGGGAGCATGAGCAGGTTCATGAGAGATGCTAGACAAAGGAGTAAGTAAACTAACAAATAGAAAAATTATACTTTTTATAAACGTCAGAACAAAGGAGATAATAACATGCTAGGTAGGTAGTCTACATGAGTGTGTACATGCTAGATCAAAGTTAGGCATACATGCTACATCAAAGTAGGTGTGAAGCCTCCCTGTGCATATGCATCAAGTAAAAGTTAACAGGCATAGTTAGTCAGCTAGTGTCAAGCCGGTGTGCACCTGTAAACTATGGTTACTAGTTAGGTGAGAGGCAGAGGGGATACGTGATGTACTATCTCAAGGTGCCAGTGACGAGTGCGGTTATTGGGTAGTTAAACTAAGCTTGGCGCTCATATTCGCTTTTTTAAGGCTAACATAAAGAAATATACAGTAGCTGTATTTCTGAGCTAGCAGGGTTTCCTTTGAGCTTGCCCCCGAGTTTATAAATTGCAAAATAATTAGTAAGAAGTAAGGCAAGAGCAGAATAAACATGCAAGCAGTATATGTAGCAATACTAGGAAAAGAAAATCCTGAGATGCATGACAGGCTTATTACTTTTGGTAGGAGCCCCATGGTGTGGGACAGTGGGCAAAGAGGCTACTAACTAAGGTTCCTCTATGTTGGGTACATTGGTATACATATTAAATGACTGCACATAATACTACAGCTGCTGTGTGTCCCAGACTATGCCAGTAGGGGGTACCACGTAGTCCCAGAGTGAGGAGTTGTACTGCATGTAAGCTTGTGAGTTGGGGCTCGTGTCTTGTGTATATTGCTGCTCGGCTCTCCTGGTTGCAGTTGCGGTCTTGCTTGTGTGCACTTGGATGATTTCAGCGCCATTTTGAGGCTCGGCACTGTGCGTCTCCTATTCCGCTGCCCTGTTAGTTTTCGTGTCGCAGGGGATGTGTGCTTGAGTGGGGAGCGCTTGGGTAGGTAGGCAGCTTCGTGTGGCAGAGCGGGCTGGAGTATGAGGCGCTCTAGCTTTAGCCAGAGGTTAGAGAAGTGTCTGTCTATCTTTGAGAGTATGTCGTTGGGGGCTTTGTCGGCACCTGTGATCCCAGGAGCATAGTGCTGTACCTTGTTCGAGAGACCTGCTTCCTGTTGTAACCGGAGGGTCAGTTGGCGTTTGCTGGGTGTCAGTGGCTTTTGCTGTGTTGAGCTGTCTGGCTCGCTGTGCCTCCAGTCCACCCCTCCGCTTTGGGCTTGCACATGTTGTGGAGCCACGTTCTTGCGTTGCAACTGGCTGGGGAGGCGTCTTGTCTGGGCATCATGGTGGGTACTTGTATTTTGCAGTGGCATGCTTCGGATCAGAATGTGCCTGGAGGCTATGTTGTTTGCTGCAGGCAAGTTTTTTGTCTCTCTAGCTTCGGCCCACATGGCATCCGTCATTTTAATTGAGGCTCCCGGGCTTTGCTGCATGGTGGTAGTGTTGTTGGGCTTGTACACTGTTGCAGCGATCTGATCCTCGGGGTAAGGACCGGGATCACCCCCACCGGTCCACAGGGGGGGGGAACAGGGTCCGGTCCACACGGCTTTGGGCCTTTGGCTGGGCTCTGTGAAGCGGGATAGTGGGGCAGCGGCCGTCCGCCCCACTCACCGCCGGAGTAGGCCCCAATCGGGACATCGAGGCCCTTTCCTCCAGGGGACTGCAGCTTGAGAGGCCAGCCTCACCCTGGATCCAGTTTCCCCACAGCACTGAGGACTGTCGTTGGTGGTCGTTATGGAGGTTTTAAAAGCATGGTTTTAGAGGTTAAAGTTTGGTAACTCACAGGAGCTGAGTGAACATGCGACCATCCAGCTCGGTGGTCCGGCCCCGCCCCCCGCTGCTCACTTTATTAAAATACTAGCGAATACTACTATTGCTAGAAAAAACTTCTGTCAGGTTGCTTTTAACATACAAGGAGGGTGTCGTACCAATGTGGCCATTTGATAGGGGCTTCAAATTAAAGAACAGAGTTGGACAGGTCACTCTTCACTCCTTGTGCCCCCCACTCATGGACAGTGGTTGGGATTCCATTTTTAAAAAAAGCCCCTATTTCCCCACTAATTCCCACTCAAGTCCCCCCAGTTTATTAATAATATTAGAACCCCACCTGCTGCACATGGGTGGGGGGCTGGAGAAGGACATAAGGTCCCACTTGTATTTTAATTAATGTTAAAATGGAGGCACCTATTTACAGAATAATGAGGTGTGTATTTATATGTTGAATTTAATTTTTAATTTTATTCTTTATTTTTGTAGTGCAATTAGGTTCACACTCGCACAATTTTTAAGCAATCAATAACAAGAAACAAGTTAGAAACGCACATCTTTATAAATTAATAGGACTAGCTAAGCATAGATAGTATGGTGGTGAGTGAAAGCCTGTAGTCTGGCTATAGAATTCATTGAGGTTAGGACTTGAGTAGACCCTGCATGTGTTACTTCCATTGAGCTGCCCGCTCCCCATCGGTATGCTATTCCTGCTTTGCGTAGCTGCGAGGTAACTGGACCATAGGACTTGCGCCAGAGTAGAGTGGCTCTCAACAGGTCTTGATAGAAGTTGAGGGACGAATCCTCAAAGGAAAGAGGTGTATTGCCCTGCAGCCGTGACGTGTAGCTTATCTTGGACTGAGACACAGCGTAAGATCACTTCTCGTACCGCAGGGGACCTCAGGCGTGTGTATGTCGGGAGACGGAATCCCCCATCTATGGCAATTCTCTTTGCCACAGCATGGCGGAGTATGGTGGCTTGAAGGCGTCTGACATAATGTGGCAGCTCTTCCGACGAGATTGCGGCAGGTTTTCCTCTGATTTTAATGTCTGTGCGTTGCTGACGGTTTTCTATGGTTGCTATATTGAGTGCCATCATTTTTTGTTGATATTGGAGCTGGTGCACTGTGTCATCTAGCGTTGTCAGGTGGGTTTGGGTGTCCACTATGTCTTGTTCCGTGGCTAGCATCCTGTCAGCATCTGTTTTGAGGAGGGCTTAGTCAGCTGCTAGGAGCGTATGTATTTCTACTAGTAGGAGTTTGAGATCCTTCCTGGTAGTAGGAGCCGAGCCATCCAGTGCCTCGGGTGAATGTTGCTGCGGTGCCCGTGTGGTTGGAGGGGTCTCCGGTCTTCTTTGTTCCGGGCTGGAAGTGCGGCTGGCTGCCTGCCAGTCTTCCGCGGGTGCGGGTACTGTTTTATGCTGTGCAGGTCTCTGCAGCATCGACCCAATGTCTCTCCCCTCAGGTTTTTAGGATCTACGCCCCATACCCGGCATGTACGTTGTGAGGTGAGGCGGTGAAGGGGAGGGAGGAAGGTCCGCGTAAGGCTCAGGATCGAGGGTGTGAGGTATGCCCCGGATTTACGTTTCCGTTTGGGCAGCTTTTGGACTTGGAAGAAAGGCATTTATCGATGCAGCTTTTCTTGCCGGTCGCGATGCGGTAGGTTAGAGGGCTAGGTGGGCGTCAGGATCAGGGATATTGTGAGGATTGTCACATTTTGTTCAGGAGCTATTGGAAATGTCACCTGGCTCAGTGTGCTTGCAAGCTCCACCCCTTGAATTACATTTTTAACACCTCAGAAATACATATTTAGTTATTAGGGATATCTAAAAATCCTGGAAAAAGATAGTTGCCCTTTAAAAGAAATGACAGTGGTAGTGTTTTAGCAATCCCAGTCAATTATAGTATTTTAAAGTAGGTCTAGAATGTAATCCATGTGGAACAGGTGAGAGTCCATACTTGTAGAGGAAGATGGAGTTTGGAAAAGCATACTCAAAAATGGCACTTCAATATGGATGATTAACAAAATAATAGATTGTTCAAAAGAGAAAGAAGTAGTAGAGTGAGAACTGTAATTACTCAGATGGAGAACCATGATTTGTATGTGAATCAGGAGATTGTAGGCTTGAGGATAATAGCACACTATACTTGAACATATTCTGCTGTGAGAACAGGCCTTGTGGGAACCTTGCAGCTTTTGTAAAAAAGAAAACAATAGCAAGCAGAAACCAAGGATACAGCTTTTTCACATATAATAAGAGGATGTTTAAACCTGTGAATCCAGTATCAGTTAAAATCTCAGAGTTTGTTTTTTGTGACAGCTTGCAGGGAAACAAGCTAATATTTTTTTTTAGTTTACAATTAACAAGCAAGGCAGTGTGCAGGAATATCTAGCAATGTTAGGGTTTGCCAATTCACTATAAACTGCATATAAAAAATATAGTTTGTGAAGTGTTACCTAAAGTTAAGCTGCGTTATGCTGTGAGTCATATGAAAACAAAGAGAAATCCTGTCTGGGAAAAAAGAGGGATGGGAAGTGTCAGGACTAGACAACCCTAACACACAACCTAAGGTGCAAAAGCATGTACCGGTCCATAGGGTGGCCAGGCTAGCGCCCAAGATAAACAGAATGTCTATAAGTAAACAAAGAAAAAAAACAGAAACAGGGTATCAGTGGTTCATGAGATGAAATAGTGCACCTGTGAAATACAATGTGACATATGGTAAGGAAATAATGTATCTGGAAATAAATATGAAATATAAACCTGTTATTATTAGCTGTTATTTGTTATTATTATTGAAGTGGTCCCCCACCCAAATGGTCTCCCCTTTTTTGTCCCCACCATGTGAAGACTGGCATGGAGGCGGGCTGCAGATGTCCATGGGCCACTAGAGCACAAGGATTGTGGACTGCAGCTTTAGATACATCTTCTGCATGTTAAAATAATAGGGGCAGAGGGAGGCAGCAATTGGGTGGTACTTTATGGATGGCACTGATAGCTATGTATGATATCAGTGGAGGTGATTACTAATGAGAGCAGGGTGAGAGGTGCTCATGACATTTAAAATACACGCTGGATTTCCCCGGTGGCAATGGAGTTGTAGGAAGTACAGGCTATGTCTGTTTAACAATCTTAACAATGTCAGATCGTCCACCTCAATGAATCAAATCCATCTATTTTATTCTCTGTGTAGGGACTCTCACAAAGTGATTTGTTTTGGAAAAAAAAAAAAGGAAAAAAGGCTGAAAGTTGCCAGTTTTCCCCCTGTCCACAGAAAGTTCAAGCAAAGTCATCAAAGAAAGGTCATATCAGTTGTCCTCCTTCTTCAACCTGTGTATAGGGGGGTTTAATATAATCGATGGCTGCCACACTCTTACCTACCATTTCCTGGTGCCATAGTATTGGAGGGTGCTATACTTCATCAGCACAGGGATCATCAAATGCACTGTCACATATTACTCTCACAGAATAAAATACCAAGTAGTTCCCAGACCCTGAGTAATTTGCCCTCCTCATTTGATAAGCAGGGTGATGTGATCCAACCCGTAAGATCCAAGGGTTGCTAATTCCTTCACTCCTCAGTGTATAGTCCAAAAAGACTTTTGCCAGTGAGGGGTAAGTTCCCCTACCCCTCACTAGACTATCCACAGTTTTTGAATAAAATATGAATACAAATATTATGTCTCTACATACTCTCCAATTGCCTGAAATATATATGTGAAAAGCCCTTGCACTCCAGCCAAGAAATAATGGTACCTGGTGCTCTGGTAGCTAAGCAATGTATACATAAGGAATACTGGCACTCCAAGGATTTTCAAGTTATTTTCTTTATTCTTCTTTATTCAAAATGACATCATCGTTTCAGCTCCATTACGGAGCTTTCATCAGGCCATGGAGCTAGAACGTTAATGTCATTTTAAATAAAGAAGAAAATAACTTGAAAATCCTTGGAACATATGCGCTGTTCGGTCCGCCCCCTATTCGTCATCATTGAGTAAACTTTGACCCTCCCACCTCCTGGACAGCTCACTAAGAATGCAGCTTCACAATGAATGTAAAATGGATGCTGTCCAGGAGGTGGGAGGGTCTGGGAGGGAGGGTCTGCTGCTGATTGGCTGGAATGTGTCTGCTGACTGTGAGGTACAGCGTCAAAGTTTACTCAATGATGACATAGGGGCGGACCAAACAGTGCATATGTTCGCCGTCCGCGGCGAACCGTTTGGGACATCACTATATATATATATACCACAAGTACCTTCTCATTTTCTGCAGAAGTGACTTGACCTGCAGAGAGTCCAGGGAGGAAGTATTTTGCAAGTAAGTGGATTGATCTCATATGAGCAGGCATTAGACTGCTAGAGTAGGATCTGCAAAGAATGTGGTACATTGACACTGTGGCAGGCTTATGTAATATATGATCACATAATGTAACTAAACCCCCATCCTTTTTTTGCCTATGTGAGGTGTTTTTAAATAAAACTATTACATTCTGTGAGATTTGAAATCATTGCTTAGCAAAAATTTTGTAGGTTGTATATTTAAATATTTATATATAAAACAACAAAAGCAGACTCTTTCTCTCTCTCTCATCTCTCTCTCTCTATATATATATATATTTATATATATATATAAAAA